TTGTACATATGTACTCTGACAAAGGTAATAAAAATCTGTTTATAACTGGTTTGTTGAAACTAATTCCATAGGGCTTCAACAGACATAAAATAGGTGGATTTGAAAATTGTGATCAGCCACAGCCCACCATATTATGCATGAACCAAGTCATTGTTGTGTTAATCCAGTTTTACCGTTTGCCATTTAAATTACCATCTCTGGAGGATGTTTTCTGTTTTCATTTTTCCAAATTTATCCCTTGCCAAGTTCCAGTTGCTGATGGCTGTACTTCGGCTCATAAAACAGGCCATTTGCATCCATTTGCCCATAAACATAGAAGAGCTTTGAATGAGCTCATATTTCAAAGCTGACATGTGACTGATGGGTGTTTTGTAGGGATTGTGCCTTCATAAAATAGGTAAGGTGACATTCTGCAGGAATGACCCGTCTTAATGCTTAGAAGAGACATCATCTGACATTACATTGACGAGACAATGGAGAACAAGCACATTGTCAGGATTTTTTTTAAATTATATTTTAAACCTAACTTTAATACCATTTCACTGAAAATACAACCTACCTTGAAAGTAAGTCCTAGCTTGATTTTTATATGTGCGACCAATATAAGCCCTACCTCAAAATAAGCCCTAATTAAGATCCTGCCTTGGTTTTTGTGCTAGGATTGGAACTTTGGTTTGTTCTATGAATTTTATTATATTTCTTTTGGTTGATAGTCATTTATGTAAGATGGAATTTCTAATTAATATAAAAACATGTATTAATGTTCATACACATTTACTGCAGTCCCAAGCATGTGTAGCCCAATTTTAAAAACATATATAAAAGCCTATTCAGACAAAAATGCATATTTGATTTTTACCTCACATATATTTTATATACATATACATACATACATACAAACATACATACATACATACATACATACATACATATATTTTCTCAAGTTTTCGTGGGTACTTACATGTATGTCATTCAGCTTTGTTCGGGTATTTTCCCACGTCATTGTAGTTGTGCTTTTAAAGTTGTAGCAATGTTTCGGCAGAAACATTGCTACAACTTTAAAAGCACAACTACAATGACGTGGGAAAATACCCAAACAAAGCTGAATGACATACATACATACATACATACATACATACATACATATAAAAATATATTTATGAGCAAAATACCACTCATGCATCATCACAAAATCTCCAGAACTGTAAAGCCTACAAACTTGAAATTTGGTGCGTATGTTCCTCTTGGCTTCTAGGTGCTTGCTAAGAAAGGATTTTTCAAAATGACCATGACAGCATTAGTATTTCCTATATTATTATTAACACATTATGATGCTAAGGAGTTCTACTCCTCCTGGCCACCTGAAATCTGTTCCAAATGCAAAACACAAGCAGAGGAGTTTCAGTTTTAGTTTCACAGCAGCAACCAGCTTTAGTACAGAACAGTTGAGCTAAGCCATGCCCAGTTTCCTTGCTGTCTCCTTGCTCACACAGCAAATACTGTGTCAGTTTCCAAACAGCCCTTAACTCTCTCATACACTGACAGGATGCTAGCCAGATGAATACTGATGGAAGCTGTTAGGCAGAGACAGAATTCCCCCCCCCCCCGTTATTTTCCTCCCCAAAAACTAACCCTGACCAGAAAAACACGGGTATCGGGCTAGTTATTTTATAAATACCTTAAGGCAGCCAACTTATCTAATCATCCTTCCTCCTCCTATTTTCCTGACAATAACCTTGTGAGGTAGGTTGGGTCGGAAAGAGTGTGACTGGCCCAAAGTCACCCAGCTGCTTCCATGCCTAAGACAAAACTAAAAGCCTCATGGTTGTTAGGCCAGCACCATTTACCACTACACCAAACTGGCTCTTAAATTCAGCAGAAAACACAGACAATCCTGCTTACACTTACTTATGTGCTAATTTATCGTTACCAAGCTTTACACAAACACATAAAAACACCGTTTCAATGCTGTATGGCATTTTAAAGCACATTTCTATGGCCGTATTGAAAGATTTACTAACATGGTGCCTCTGAACAGTACAGCATCTCAGCTGATTTTGTTTTAAATACTAGTTCCAGTTGATTGCCTCAAAAACAAACTCGGCTTAGGAGATGCATCTTTTAATATAGGTTCTCCACTTATGCACATAATATTGTTTATAGCTTGACACGGATGTAAAAAACAAACCTCCACTGAGAAAGGCATCAGCTGTCCTTTTTATACATGTAGAAAGTTTCAGCGTGGCTAGGTATCTTCTGCCAAAATATGGCTATGGTATATTTATTACCCGGGCTTACAGTACAATTTCCTTAGTCACTCAAGATGCTACTGCAATTCTGGATTGTAAACAAGAAAATTACACATTAAAGGAAATGCAATAATGAGAAGCATATGTGAAAATAAATCTGCAACTGGAATGCTTATTTAATCAGATGTGGCCTCTATTTGCTTTGGGGAAACTGAAAGCCAGAAGACCACTTAACAGTTAAAGCAGAGCAATTTGTTCTGCATAGCTACATTGCCAGAATTGGGAATTAGTGGGTTTGACAGACAAGCATGTCACATTTCCAATTCTCTCAAGTATATCAAGGCTTGACTTAAAATCAATGTACTTTTAAAATCCGCCCAAGTCAAAGAAGTTGATGTATATTTCCTGAATCAGCTATGCATGATTGCATAAACAGCTCTTAACAAACTTGCAGCTCCATTAAGTTACTCAGACCTTAATTCTATTTACTTCTTTATTTGAACGTGTTTTACTTAAAGATAAAAGCCTCTCTCCTGCTGTGTGTTTTAAAAGGTGCCAGAATTGTTTCTGGAAATTGATGCCACATAACATTGCTGCACTAGGCAGAAAAATGAAATGTAAAAGTCCAGTTTGTTAATGTACATTTAGATTAAATTAATAAGACTTGTAGACCAGAATTCTTTGGCCAGTGGAACTATGAAAAAAATCCTAATAATATCAAAAAGAAGTTACCAGAAAAGTCTCATTGTCACTTGTATTTGAGAGCCATTTAGAAAGGATTTAATTTAACGTTAGGAAGAATACATAGGCAACAGGAAGTCAGTGATAGTCATTGCTAGGCAGAGCTGAGTTCACTCAACAACTAAATCATGGTCTGTGTGCTCATAGTTTGTGGAATAAACATATTGGTGGCTTTGCACCCCAGATGATTAATAAATCATGCTTTACCTAAAACAGTTCAGAGAATATGCTAAACCTATGCCAAACAAGCCGCATAGTTCCATGATGGCGAACCTATGGCACACGTGCCACAGGTAGCACACAGAACCATTTGTGCTGGCATGCGAGCCTCAAACTAACCTCACTGAGCATGCTGGAAAATCCAGATGATTTTTGGCCTGTTTGAGGGCTTTTTCAGCCTCCCAGAGGCTTGAGGAAAGCCTCTGCAGGCTGAAAAATAGGCCTGTTTCATCACTTCCTGTTTCTGGAAATACCAGAAGTGATGAAACAGACCCATTTTTCGGCCTGCAGCAGCTTTCCTCAAGCCTCTGAGAAGCCAAAAATCAGCTGGGAGGCACAATGCAGGTAAGGGGCGAGGGGAAGTGATGGGGGGCGTACGCATTGCCTTCTGGGTGCTGGCCCGTGAGCGCAAGCATGAAAGTGCGCACACAATTTTTGGCACAGGAGCCCAAAAAGGTTAGCCACCTCTGGCATAGTTAGTATATTGTGTGAACTCAGTAATTTACCTAGTGGTTGAAAAAACTGTTTCAAGTGCCAAAGCCTCCAGATTCAAGCTTTGAAAAAGTCACCAATGTGGAAACTGTTCTGAACTGTTAGGTGATTCACACAACACAGGGGACCATAAACACAGCTTCTGAATTGTGCAAATGCAACTCAAAATGTAGTTCGTCGTAGCAAATATTGATTTGATTTTGATTTCTCTTGTTCATTTACTTTCCATTTTGTTAACTGATCAAAGTAAACTATTAACAGAATAACAGAATTGGAAGGGACCTTTGAGGTCTTCTAGTCCAACCCCTTGCCTAGACAAGAAATTCTATACCATTTCAGACAAATAATTGTCCAATCTCTTCTTGAAAACTTCCAGTGTTGGAGCATTCACAACTTCTGGAGTGCAAGTTGTTCCCCTGATTGTTCCAACTGTCCGGAAATTCATCCTTAATTTTTATTAACACTTCTATTTCTGAAAGCATTCTTAATTGACAGCATTTTTGCACAACTGCCTAAAACTTTTTTGCAGAGTATTGTATGTACATGCACGTGTAATTAGATTACACGTGCATGTAATTTGCTTCCAACAATGAGAGCAAGAAAAAATTTCGTATTCGTCTAGCTTTTTCCATGCAACGCTTGGAAATTTTCTTACAATTCAAGGTTTTAAAAAAAGGGTTGCCCAACAAAACGTTACCTATATAGGAGCATCCAAGGAGGAGCTTCGTCCTGCTTTTCAAGCCCGAGTTTCCAATGCTAGATTTTTTTCCCTGCGACAAATAAATCAGGTTTTCTCCAGGAGCCAGCACTACTGAGTCGCCAAGCGCGGCAGGAATGCCTAGTAAGCTCAACAGGTGCTTCCAGAGCAGTCTGGGGGAGTCTCCTCTCCCCGTGACAGGTATTATCTATTCGGGGGAAATGGAAGACTTCCTTTTTGCAGAAGCAGCTTTCCTCGCCTGAAGGAATTCTTGCATTAACCACAAAGGGCAGCATTCACAAATAAGATCCCAAAAGCAGCAGCTACCGACCTCGCCAACCTTGCCCCAAAGCTACGTGCCAATTGCTCGAACGCTCCTCCCCCCCCCCCGTTTTTACAGTCGCCCCCGACGTCGCCTACGTCACAATGCCTAGACCGTCCCCTCTGCTTTTCTCTCCCAGGCTTTTCGCTCGGCCCTTTTCTCCCTTAAAAGGACAATGGTACGCGTATGCAAAATAGCTCGATTGAGAATTCAGCCCGTGGGAACGGCGCATGCGTACACCGACTAAAAAGTTAAACCAATGATTCCAGATCTTGCCTGCTCTCCAGACGCAGGAGCTACTTAGACAAGGAAAGTGGCGTGGCGCGGACCCGGGGAACCAAATCGCGGCACACACCACCTCACGCGATCGGTTTGTTGGAGGTGAGGGGATTCGGCGTTTATCGCTTCGTTTTGGCATTTGCTTGAAAGAGCGGTCTTGAATAGGGATTCTGGCCAGTTTTGCGTCACGCGTGCAAATTGCAGTTTTTGAAAAGCGAATCCCTAGGAAAACTCAGGGATGACTGAAGAAAATACTTATGTTTAGATGGGAGAATTGATAGAAGGTATTGTTACCTCTACTTTGTGGAAGGTTTGAATGCGCATCATTGCGGAAAAGGATGAATCGGAGTAGGAAGAGGTTGATTGCATTGTTGTGAACATGTGGCCAGTGACAAACGACTTTTTATCCCCCCACCCCCACCCCGGAGAAAAACAGTTGAAAGAATATAAGTGCTTTGGAGACCAAATTGCTGGGTACAATCCTGAAGGGAATGTTACCTTGTGTACACTTTAAGAAGTAAACTCCATTGGACCCATTAGGAGTTCCTTTCAAGTAAATTGTAGAGTGAAGGTTTTAATGGAGTTAGCGGTTTCCACCGTGATTGCGTGACTAGAACCCTCCGGCTTCATTGAGTTTTGAGTGGGTGGTAAAACTTCTTAAAAGCAACTTTTCGAAATCGCTTTCTCGAAAGCTCTAAAAATAAAGGGAAGCGGGAAGAACTGCAGGTCTGTGCATCTTTTTTTCCTAAAGAGCAACCCCGGGGAACATGCACCAGGGAGCAAAAGAATATCGGAATGATGGCAGCCACCGTTTGCTCATTCGGGAGCGTTTATTGGTGGCTGCAAGCGGCCAGAGCAGCGTGGTCCATTACAACTATGGACGCGGCGTTAGCGACGCGGAGAAGCAAAGCGGGACGGGGGGGGGGGGGGGGGGGGGGGGGGGGGGGAAGACAAGGTTTGTTTACAGGTTTTCTATTCGGGAGTCCTAATCCCGATGCCAACGTTCCATTTCGAACGCTTTCCCGGGACTTTCGAAAAGAATACACCTGTAGACGAGATTGAAGAAAAATAAGATGCGAGGCGGGGCAGAGGAAGCGAATGGAAGCCCGGGGGCGGGGGGGGGGTCCGTCAATCTGCTTTTCTCCAGGGAGGGTGAAAAGCAGCCGGGATGGGAAAGGCCGGTGTTAAGTAGTTTTTTTTTTTACACTTCTGATCTGCGAAGCTCGACTTGTGGGTTCGGTGATTTGGGGCGGAGGGAGGGGAAAAGAAGCCCCCCGTGGGTTAATTAATAGCGCCGCCTGATGTGCTTAGCAGGTCGTCACGTTCTTTTTTTTTGAAGTGTGTGAAATTCTTATTAAAAAGATTTCCCAAGATTTAAGCTGGTTGCATAGATTTGCCTCATTGGTCGCCGGAGCCGAGTGGGTGGTGATAGCGATATGGGGAGGCAGAGTCTTTTGCCATCTTCAAAGCCCAGCCGGGGTGTGGGGAACGAACTCCGGTGGACGGTCTTTGCAGATCCCACTTCTCTTATAAAAAGCCTTCTCGCTGCAAAGCCTCTCCTTGTTCCCTCACACTCACACACAAACACTCACACCCCAAACGCCACGCCGGGAAAGTCGAGTGTTTCAGGTGAAAGGGGAACTGGCCCTTTTCCCACCCTCTGGTGAAGGCGAACAAAGAGCTGCCATGAACATGTGGCTCTCGTGCTTGGCGAGCTGGGCCGGTTCTCGACGCCCGCGCCCAATTCCCCTTGATGCGGACCCTCTGAGGAGAAGGGCCGGGGAGGGGGCGAGCCCCGCGCTGTGCGGGCGCGCCTTCTTAAGCGCTGAAGCGCGGCGGCCTCAGGACTTTTTCTCTCAGAGGTTAAAACTTTTTCACGGCGGTGCCCACCGTCGCGAGGTATCACGTTGCGTGCAGGGCAGAGAAGAGAAAGAGGCGTGTTTTAGGTGCCCGGAGAGCAGGAAGCGGCGCCTGCCGACGGATGGGAAGGGAGCGGTGGGCACGGCACCCTCGCGCGGGTGGGAGGGCGCCCACGCGGGATCATTGTTTGGGGAAACTTTGGGGCCTGCGCGAGGAGGGCGGGGTTTTTTCGCTGGCTGTTGGGGCGCGCTGCGCTCCACGCGCCTCGTGCGCCTGTTTATGGGAGGTCTTCTGGTCGAGCTGGCTTTGAAGTCGGAACTGTTGCCATGTTTGAATTACGTCAGGGCAAAGCCATGAGGAGGAACCAGTTCTGGGTTAACAGGGAGACAGCGCGCGCCTTCGCCCGCCCGCCAGCCAGCTAGCTATCCGCGCGCCCACCTACCCATCTTCACAGTAAACTCTTCCCCGCCATCCCACCCCAGGAAGTTGGGAAGGGGGTTAGTGGGAGATCTTCAGCGAAGGGCCACGGGGCGTGATGGAATCAGGACGCGGGAGCAGCCCCCTTTCCATCCCTTTTGTTCTGCGGCAAAAGCCCGGGAGTAAAACTTGAAAGCGCAGAACTGGGCGAACGATTTCGTTCTCTCAACCGGGTTGGTTAATAAAAAGCGTGTTTTGGCTTGTTTATGCCACTCTTGGCTCGGTCAAAAGCCATGCAAGTGAGTTCATTGGGCGAATCGAGATCCGCTTAAACTGAGGTTAGTTGGGATGTACAAAGATGGGCACCCTCCCAGGCTGGAAGAAAACCTGAGAGCCCTGAATTCTGGCTTGGTTTTTCCCAATTCTTTTTCCAATACCAGCCCTTATTTACACCAGGTGCTGGTGATCCCTTTCCGGTGATTTACTAGATGCTAGAATCTCAGGGAAATGGGTGCTATTATCAGAAACCCTGTGACAGTAAATATGATCCATCTCTCTCCTTAAAAAAAGTTATTGAGACTCTGGAAAGAGTGCAGAGAAGAGCAGCAATGAGGGGACTGATGGTTAAAAAGTTCAAAGAACGGTTGCAGGGATAGAAAGATGTTTAGTTTAATGAAAAGAAGGACTGGGGTGACCTGATAGTAGTTTTCCAATATCTAAAGAGCTGCCACAAAAAAGGTCAACCTATTCTCCAAAGCACCTGAAGACAGAAAAAGAAGCAGCGGATAGAAACTAATCAAGGAGTGAATCAACCTAAGAAATAACTTCCTGTCAGAACAATTAATCAGTGGAACAGGTTGCCTTCAGAAGTTGTGGGTGCTCCATCACTGGAGGTTTTTAAGAAGAGATTGGGATAACCATTTGGCTGAAATGACATAGGGTCTGCTGCTTGAGCAGGGGGTTGGACTAGAAGACCTCCAAAGTCCCTTCCAACTCTGTTATTCCTCTCCCAATAGCATTTGTGCAGTCTAGGAGACAAATGTTTTGCATCCCTTGGAAGCCACCGAGGCAATGAGTTTGGCATTAAAACATGAAATTGGTTGAAAAGAAAATAGGAAACCTCAATATTGCATGTATTGGGAAGAGGGGATTGAGAGAAGCTTTTCAGCTTCCCTGTGGGAATCTTGTCTTTACTTCTGCAGTTCCCTCCCTATCCCATCATTTTGTCATTATTAATCAAATCATGCTTGAAGCAACCATAAAGTTCTGGGTATCCATCCTAAAACTTTGTGGCAGTGATTGATTAGGGCAGGGAAAGGAGTGAAGAAGAGTATCATTCCTGTACTGTAACTTATGGGAATCCTTAATACTTGCCTTCTTTTAAAAAAGATTTGGTAATGCAGATCTTGATGAATACAGTTCCTGATGCTTTGTGATTTGGCCTTTCCTGGGGCTGAAGGATGGAAGCCTCTGATTTTTCCTTGATGTGCTGGGGTCTGTTTTGAAAAGTAGGTCAGCTTTGGCAGAGGTGGACACAGATGGGTGGTCTTTGTTTAAGGCACAGCCTGCTTGTATGCCCTGGTATGGCCTTTCTCTCAATTGCAGATACTGTTTTTATTGCTTCCTTGCTTGGAAATGCCTTTCCACTTCAGTCATTTTGAATTTATAATTTCTCCTGTTCCTTAAGGGCAGTGATCATATTAAAGGCAAAGAAGGTTGAGAACTTTTGAAACATGGCATTGCAAGCATATTTTTTCCCATCTCAATAATGTGGGTGTTCCATATTGATTGTCCAGTGTTTAAAACCTTATCCCATTTTGTTCAGCATTTCTGCAGGCACGTCAATGGTGCAACAGCAGCGTATTCCTAAAATACCTCTGATTTTATTGGGTATTGCCACTGGTTGCAGCCATACACGTTTTAACATAAAATAACATGCATTGAATTCATCTGCTCAAATTCATATGTGAAGTCCTCAATTCCAAGAAAACAATTACATTTGCTCAAATTCTGCTTTTTTTACTTCTGCACCTCACATACCAAATTACAACAATTATTTTAAAGTTGGAATCCTTTCTTCCTCCCTTCCTCCCTTAGATGAACAACAATAATAATATAAATTTGAGTATAAAAATCTTTACCAAGTAATTACAAATGCCTTTTTTGGTCATAAATACAAAAATTTGTTAACAAAGTCAGGGAATCCAGGGAAGTTTAGTGATTGTTGCATTAATCTTTTTTCCATAGCAACTTTAAGAAACAAATTATCTTTTGGTGCCTGAATTCTAATAGCAACAACCTTGAGAAGAAAGAATGCACTGTTGTGAATTCCAAGGCAAGGAGATAATAGCTTGCAAGTAGATCACCCAGGCAGTTTTTCTTGGTAGAGAAATTATAATGAAGCCTGATGGTCCTTGCAACACAGTATGTGTGCCAAATGCACAATTGAATAACATCTTTATTATAATTTTTTGTCATTTTACGTGGTCCGTTTTTTATGAAAATAAGCTGCTTTGGCTTTGAATCAATATTTTACTAGAATTGCAGTGCCTTAACATATACTGAAATGTACACAGGAGTTTAAATAAAAGCATTCTGGATTTTATGGCCTTGAATGTACCTTAGTGGTGAAAACTATGGCGAAGGAACACATGGGTTACACATAGGAAGTATCAGGTTCAGTCTTGGCATCTCTTACTTTTAAGACTTGCAGACTTCAACTCCAATTTCAGGCCAATAACATCACACATAGACAGTATTGGTCCTTCGACCACAAATTGGAAACCACTGCATAATCCTGTCATAATGTGACTATCTTTTTCAGC